GTTTGCTGTTTGCTGTTTGCTGTTTGCTGTTTGCTGTTTGCTGTTTGCTGTTTGCTGTTTGCTCTTTGCTCTTTGCTCTTTGCTGTTTGCTGTTTGCTGTTTGCTGTTTGCTGTTTGCTCTCTGCTCTTTGCTCTCTGCTCTTTGCTCTCTGCTCTTTGCTCTTTGCTCTTTGCTCTTTGCTCTTTATTACAATTAACTGCTCAGGTTAACTGCTCCGTTAACCTTAATACCAAGCTGACAACAAACGAAAATTGTAGTCGGGAAAGCGTTTCTCAAAATATAGTTAAATTTGGACCCGTTTTCCGAGGAATCAGTGATTTTCAATAGTGCATGGTTGAAGCTTTTGGTGGTTGAGCTCGCTGTCCTCCGTGGCCTCTTCGGCAAAGGAAAAGAACACTATGGAATCAGACACTTCTTAAAAGCGAGAGTGGGGAAGAAAGCGAACAAACACCCCTGGCTTTGAGCTGTTTGAGATGCTCTTCTTTAATGGAAGGTTTGTGGGTTACATTTTTCTTTCCACTTAGTTTTAACTTGAGACAGTTTAAAGTCGCGCGCCTAAGGCTGAAATTAAACACGAGTAGCTTTTTAAAATGATCTCTGTTACTTTCGTTATATGGTAAAATAAGCATAAATGAACAGAAAACTGAGGTTTAAAGAAAAATGTCAGAAATGTAAGTTTGTATTTATGCACGATGCAGTCGTTCCTTCAAGCGGCTGTTCCTTGAACTGTTCAATTCACGATCGCCGGAGTGATCGAGCAAAACTGAAACCCGGGAACTGAAATAATTCATCAGAGACTACCAATATTTGATAAAACTGCCTTTATTTATGCTCAGTAAAACTATTATCTTTAGGGTTTTTTGGAACAGAACGATGTCGTATTTACGACTTCACTTAAAACACAATTTTTTAATATTATCATGCACAAGTTTTGCTCACCGAAAACATTTAAATGACTTTCGACGCCAGAAAAGTTCCAGAAATTATGAGAGTTTGTGCTGAATTTTATTGTCGTCAAATCGCTGAAAAAACCTCTCTAAAAATGCCGCTATGCATTACTAATCTCGAAGGGTTGTTTGTTGTTTTCTTGGTCTTCTCCGGGTCTCTGTTCAACCAGCTGATTCAACTCCTGCTCGCTTAATTTAGCAAATCTCTTTCGTGGAGGCCTGGCAAAAAACTTGAGCTCGAAATTTGGTAGCTCACATCCTTCATCCTTAATTACTCTTGTTAATATCTCACTTTGTTATCCTATTTATTGCATATTTTTCATATTTTTTCACTGTACAACTGACGATAGATGATGTCTCATCCGAAACATGTATTGTTTTCATTAAATAATGAACATCAAGAACATCGTGTGGTTCATCAAAACTATTAGTATAGGTAATCATACGGTTTCGATTTCAATTTATAATTAATTTGCACAAGTGCAAATTAATTCCAAATTGAACGAGAAAAACCGTATGATTACTTATTAATGACATAAACATGAAAACATTCGCGTGGAAGAGGTGCCGGAAGATCTTTCTTGAGGCCATTTTTTCTCATTCTCGTGACCATTTTACGTGATATCATTGGCTTAGAAAATTTCCTATTGTATTTCAGCTAATCATAATCCAGAACTACGATGTGTAATTTGCACTGGTGTTACACTTTTTGCACTGTGTTACACTTAAACTGCACTGCTCTCAGCCAATCAGAATCGAGTAATTTTTTCATGTATATTATTATTACTATTATTATTATTATTATTATTATTATTCGCCTTTATCACAGTCCGACATGTTGGATGCAACGTCACCATTTTCGCATGAAAGCGAGGCCACGCGTCTGAAAACATCATGGCTGAGTCAGCGATAGCCTGCGAACAGGTTTCCGGCGAGGACGGAAAAAACTCTCGGCGAGCGCGAAACAAAAGAATTCGGAGAGCAAAGCGATCGGGACGGGGACCGACCGGGCTCACCGGGAGCCTGTTCGCAGGCTAAGTCAGCGAGTACTTCAATTCCTTCAGAGTTTTGGCACCGCAATGTTGTGGACATACCGTCGTTCACAAACGCCTTTATCGAAAAAATGGCTAGTGAAAACCTTCCAGTGAAGATGA